ATATATATATATATATATATATATATATATATTTAACAATGATGAATTCCACAATACTAGAACAGATTTATGAGTGTCCAATATTCCATGAAATCTAGTTACTTTCTACATAACTGGGGAAAGTCATGGAAGTGCAAGATCTCAAAGAATAGCAAATAGCAAATTCTTTGGCTATTAATTGGCAAATAAATCTTAAATTGGACACGGGAGGGAGGGAACAAGGGAGAGGGAAGAAGGAAAGAAGGAAAGGAAGGAAGGTTCATTCTAAATTTGTACTAAAACCAAAGAAATTGATTTTAACTGGGAAAATCTCTTAAGAGGTATACATCTCTGATTATTTTTATTCCAATAGAAAGCACAGCAATAAATTCAATTAAAAGGCAATTATTTCATTCTGCTAAGTCTGGTTATAAATCCCTGATCATTTAACCAGGTTAAATGAGAAAAAGTCCTTATTTCGGTCATCAGAATGAGACAGAATATACCTCAAAGTCCAATTGGATTTAACCTAGCTCTCAAGCAGAAGAAATGTAATTCTTTTTCAAAAACTGCTCATTTAGAGAGACAGACTAAACATTAACCTTTATTAGCTGTAGGAGGCATTTTCCACCACCCATCGTATTTCATTTCTTTTCCTTAGTCAGCAGTACATTTCAATCATCTCTATTGTGCAAAATGTCAATACAATCCAAATTAAAAGGTTTTCATTTTAATTAAAGGCAATTACATTAAAATGGTAGCTGACACAACCCTATTTCTTTCAAAGGAATTAGCCTTTTTAAAAATATTCACAGCATGTCTGGCTTGATGCTGCTCATTCTAATTATGAAATGAAGCATATAGAAGAGTAAGAGTGAGCTCTTAAACAATCAGTGACCAAATTTGTAAGCCCAGGCAAGCCCATTTTAACTAGGGCTTGGAATTAGCAAGGTAGCGCTTCATATTGCAACATTTTATACCAGCTTTTATTTATTTCCACTATTTTTATGCTGCCAATATTATAAACATTCTAGGCAATTTATAAAGATAATAAATTAAGATGTCACACAAGTCTCCAAAATTCAACAGATTTTGTTTACAGGTAATCCCTGATATATAACCAGTTATTTAATGGCCATTTGAAGTTATGACAGCCTCAGGAAGGGTGCTTTATGGTCTTACGACTGCAGGATGCTGTAAGCATCATAAATTTGAACCAGCTGCCAAGTACCCAAATTGTGATCATGTGACAATTGGGGTGTTGTGACAGTCAAAACTTCAAAGGCATATCAAAAATCATCTTTTCTGAGGTCATCAAAACTTGGAACAATTCTTAAACGAACAGTCATAGTGAAGGCTACCATATTGTGGACAAATTCTTGACTGCAATGGAACCAGTAAATCAGTTTCATCCAGGTGCATATGGAGCCAGGAAACCAGCTTATTGTTGTCTTTTAATCATTTTGTCTAAAAAATGAAATATCTGAGTTGGGTCTATATTACTATATTATTGGGTCAGCAACCTAAACAAAATCAGAATACTACAAGGCCCCAACCACTCTAAAGTAACAGCAAATACACAGTACTGGCAGACTCTTAGATGAGATGGAATTCCATAGCAAACTATGCTTCACCCAGTCACTCAGCTGGCTTTCATTCTTAAGGTGGGAGTAAAACTTGCAATCTCCTGGTTTTCTAGCCTGGTGCTTTAACCACTAGCCCAAACAGACTTTCTGTTTAAGACAAAATAATTACAATGAATTATAGTTATTACCAAGATTTAAGGTTAGCAACCAAGTGCTTTTTGCCTGTCTAAAGGGAATACATCTGCTTTAAGCCTAACAATGAATTTGTGGTTACTTACCACACCCAGCTTTTCAGAAGCATTTGCTTTCCACAAACGAATGTTCATTTCATCAGAGCCACACAATATGTATTTATTGTCTGATGTCCATTTGACAGTGATGACATGTTGCATTCTCTTTGTATGATAGATCTCCCTAAGAATAGAAAATAGTTTGCTTTCATTTTTATTAGAAATATTTTATGGGATTTTTAGAGGGCTGTGCAGCTTTTGGGATTCAGCTCCAAAGTGTGTAGGAGCATAAAAGTAGCATATGAAAGATACTACACTTGTGAAACCAAGCACTTTTTACAGATTCATCCCAAGACCTATGAAACCCTAATATTTCTAAAAATTATCTGATTATACTGATCTCTATTATCAGGCAAATACCTGAAAGTTAAAAAGTCAAAATAATAGATATGAACAAGTGGGTCGGTAATAATCTATTACTTTGTTTGTAATAGAATAAAATAATTTTAGAGAAAATTAGAGATTCAGAGAAATTAACCATCTTTTTTCTATTAAAAGAGTTTTTAATAGTGAGCAGAAAAGTAAGGATGGAAAAGAGCAGCTATTTTTGAACTCAATCCCATATTTGCCTTACGTTTCAGCTTTTGTTTTGGCTTCTGTGAAAATAATCAATTATATTGATTATGACAACAATGTTTAGTATGAGCATAACCATTCCATAATATTTTCAACTTTCATATATACAACCCATTAAAAGTCTGACTTCAAGGGTGCCCTCTTAAAACTAGTCTAATATTAAACAAATGATATATTTCATAATAGTCATTACTTCCTCAAGTAACAAATTAATATCCAATTTTCATATGGTCTTAGTACAATTTTTAGTGTCCCAAGTTTGGAATTCTTTATGGATTTTAGGCCAGGAATGTTCATGGTCATTCACAAATTGGGTCACTTCCCATTTGGATTACAACAATTACTACATGGGGTTACCATGGAAGACTACCCAGAAGCTACCATTGGTCTGGGATGCAGCATCAAGCAGTGTTGCACACTAGGTTTGCCATGTTACACCCCAGTTGTGTGAGCTGCATTGGCTCTGGTTTCCTTCCAGTTGTTAGTTATTACATTTAAAGCCCTACAGATAGCCCACTGCCTCTGCCACCAAATGCCCAGCTGACCTTCCTCATCCTTTGCCTGCCTCCCCTCAGCTAGACTCGCCATCCTGACCAATGCATATGGGAGGTGCCATGGAAAGCTCCCACAGGTCAGTGGTGTTCTTATCCACTGCAGGCGGGAATGTGCCACACTATGCACAAATATGGGGCGTCCTTTCATTAAAAAATGACTTCTTTGGTGTGCAAAAACTCCAGTGCAGTAGAAGGACCTGGCTGGCTCATGAAAGGAGGCCTTGGTCAGTAAGCAAAAGAAGACTGGTCTGAAAGAAGGCTACAATGGCACAAAAGAAGAACCCAGTTTGTAGTGTCCCATGGTGCAGGGGCAGGCAAGAGGGGCAGCTGGCAATAGAATGCAACATCCTTCTCTCTGAATTCTAATAGTCCCTACTCTTTAAACTTGAAAAGCATTTTCTCCTAAGCACTCAGATAGAATGTGCTTGGCATGGGACGCACATACTGTGGGCTGCTTCTGAAAGTTAAGTTATGGTGCTAGGTTTTGGTGTTTGTTTTACTGGGTTTTTTTTATATTACCATTGTTATATTGTTCATACTTGGGCTGTGAGCCATTCAGGGTTTAAAATAGGCAGCCATGTAACTGTTATAAGAAACTTTAAAAAAAATGGAACTAATCTAACAGAAGCAACTATTCCTCTTTAAAAAAAACATTTTGTTCTCATAACAGGTTTTGAAAACAAATTACTCATAGAGGACACCTGTAATAGAATATCATAGGGATGAATAAGCTGATTCTTTCATTTAATCACTCAAACATCTGGCTCATTTACCAAAAGCTCTTAATAAAATTAATAAACAAAGTATGTCTTGTTTCTTCTGACTTCTAAAATTTCACGTTCAGAGTTTAATTAGGAACATAAAATAAGCCCTGGCATCTGGGGCAAGAGCACTGTGATAAAAACCTATATAATTAAGTCCATAAATTTAACGTGCTTTTGCTATGTAGAGTTATGCATATTTATGAGACTCAAAGCTTTTGAAGGGATATTGTCAAAAACATAGTAAAGCCTTGAAAATTTTGAAGAAGAAACTCTTTCCCAAATGAGAGTTATGGATAAGCGTATTGAAGAATTCTTTAGAAGCTTTACTTGTTCCCAAGCTGAAATTAACTGTAAAAGACATCTCAAAATATTTTTAAAAAGAAATTAGCATAAATGTTTCGAATTTTCATTTAGTTGTTTCTGATCTAGATTCTAGAAGCCAGCTGATATAAACTATTTTAAAATATTAATGCAAAATCACACTATGAACGTGAGCCTTCTTTATGAGATTTCCTATGCCCTAAGCACATAGAAAGCACATATATCATAAAACCTGCATCACAGCTGCAGCAATCATGCCAACAGCACTAATTGCGAAAGCAGGAAAAAATACAGATGACAGCTTGAAAGTCTTGTGGAGAAATCTGTATTCAATCTCTACATCCATTACAACTTTGTGCAAACTGTGCTGCTGATCCATCAGCATGTAACTCTTTCAATAAGCAAACCATATTTTCTATTCCATCTAGAGATGAAATTGATCTTAGTGCCCATTTCAGCAGTCAGCATCTAAATCCCTTCGCTTAGCAATAGTTAAATTGCACTTAACAATAGCTTAACTTTCTTGACTAGCAATTTATATGGCATAGTTAGAATCATGCTGGGGAAAAAACAAAAAATCCTGGTAAAACACAAATTCATCTCCATTACTGGATTCTGTCCTAAGCAAGTGCACTCTGTGTTAGATAACATGAAACAAATCAGAAGATTTTTGAACCCCAAAACATTTTAGCCCAACTATTTTTATAACAGTATCAATGAAAAGCAGAACAAAACACTGAAATGTACCAATAAAAATTTCAAAGCTTAATGTAATTGTAAACTAGGAATCGTGGTGCCGCAGTGGTTAGAATGCAGTATTGCAGGCTAATTCTGCTGACTGCCGGCTGCCAGCAGTTCAATTCTCACTGATTCAAGGTTGACTCGCCCTTTAATCCTTCTGAAATCGGTAAAATGAGGACCCAGATTGTTTGGGGCAATATGTTGACTCTATAAACCACTTAGAGGGGGCTGTAAAGCACTGTGAGCCAGTATATAAATCTTAAGAACTATTGCTATATCTTTACAAGCTATTCAATATATTAAAATCAAATTGAGAGATTTAAGACTGGTAGCAAAGAAGGAACTCCAGAAGTAATTATTATAAATACATTCACTGACCTGCTATGACCTTTATCTGCAGGAAAAATGCGAATAGATTTATCAAAGCTGGCAGACACAAATTCTTTTCCTGTGGGGGAGTAATCCACATCCAGGACTGCAGACACATGGTCCATATGAACCATTAAAGCCTTGCCAAGGAACCGCATATCAAAAGTATATAAGCTACAAGAAGAAGAAAAAGGTAAATATTACTTCTACTTACTTTATAATTGTTTGATCAAATGCTTTGGTAAAGTAGAGATTTACCACCCAGTACCTATAGATATCAGACACTTATCAGAACAGTGCCTCTAGTCATCATCAAAAAAACTTTTTTTTAAAAAAAATAGCTGAAATCTGTTTGAGAAAATATATCTAAGTTATAATGAAAATGTTCTTGATTTAGGACTGACTGGTTAATGATCTGGGAAGCTGAGAATACTGCCACTTCCATATTAAAAGCAAGTGAACAGAATAATGATCAAATCTAAACTGCCTTAAATTCAACTATTTTTTTTAAAAAAAA